TTTTTTCGAACCACATCATGCGATAGCGACACAAATGCTTATCTTCTAATATCGGCTAATGCGAGCTGCCGCATGCCCTGCCGATTTGGCGACAGTCCGACATGCCACTGCTGGCTACATGAATCGCCTCATTGTCTTCTTTCTGCACTGTGACCGTCGAAGCACCGTTTAGGCCGCTCGTATTCGCCGAAACGCTTGTATTTGGGCGCAGAGGCCGCTTCTAGTAATTTATGGCACGTGTGTTGGAATGCAGCCTGGTGCTGTGCAAGGCTCAGTCGTTCGCCCGCTCGCCCGCTCGCTCGTCTGCCCGCTCGGTTAGGTGGCCGGTTGGGTACGTTTTCCGGCAGCGCGTGCGCTGATTGATATCGAGCTCCATGTCTTAGCCGGGTGGGACGCGTTTGTCGCGCGCGCGTATCCTTTTTCCGCGACACGTGCACCGAAGACACGCAGCAGCAGCCTGCACGTTTTTACGTCGATTCTGACACGAAGCTGGAATGACAGCGTGCCGAACTTGGGCTTTGCATGCATGAAGCGATTAAGATGTATTATCTGCATTTAATTGTATTCATAAGTGACATTAATGATGCTGCTCCAAATTGGATATTTTGATTTTTAGAACTGAGCTGGTGGGTACAAATAGCATTCTTGCTTCCAATTTCTTATGGCATGTTGGTATTTGTCGCTTCACCGACCATATGGAAGCGATGCCGTGAGACCTTCGTAAAAAGCAACTGATGTTTTATTAGATCACCTACATGTAACTGCAGTAACTATGGAAACTTGATGTTGAAGCATCTATCCGCGGAAGTCTGGCTCAAAGTCGGTGCTCCGATACCCCCATCCAGAACTCCTACGCTCCCATCTCGTGCTCTTATGTTTGCATTCTGTATTCTACAGCTCCCAGCATTCGAAGCTCCCATCCTGTACTCCAACTCTCCCATCCCGTACTCCAACCATTGCATCGTACACATGCCCCGATGGCCGATGCTCCCAATGCTCGCACCGTACTCCGACAATATCACCCTATACCTACTCCGACACTCCCATCACGGACCCCAACACTCCCATCCCGTACTCTAACACTACCATCCCTATATACTCCAGCACTCCCATCCCGTACCCCAACACTCCTATCCCGTACTCCAACACTCCCATCCCATACCCCGACACTCCCATCCCGTATTCCAACACTCCCATCCCGTACCCTGACACTTCCATCCCGTACACCGACACTTCCATCTCTTGCTCCAACACTCCCATCCTGACACTCCTACAAACTCCCATCCCGTACCCCAACACTCCCATCCGGTACCCCAACACACCCATCCCGTACCCTAGCACTCCCATCCCGTACCCCAACACTCCCATCCTGACACTCCTACATACACTCCCACCCCGTAGGTACTCCAACACTATAGTGTTAGAGTATAGGGATGGTATACCTGACACTACCAGTACCATCCCTATACTCCAGCACTCCCATCCCGTACCCCAACACTTCCATCCCGCATCCATAATGCTCCCAGTGCCCGTCGCGGTCCGCTCCCCCACCTGTGAACTCGGCCGCTGTCTGTCGCTCAGCAGACCAGCACAGCCGCGGCCCGGTAGCCGAGCTTGCACGGACCATAAAGTAGCGTATGCGGTGCGTGACTTCCTCGCCAGCGTGCAGAAGCTAGCCGCAACTGAAATGTTCAGACACACAGTATCGGGTGGCTCTAGCTGGTGATCGAGGCAATTGGAACTGAAGACACGCCATGGTAATTATTGGCGCTTTATGGCAATGCTGGGTGCTCTCTGGAAATGCTGGGTGCTCTATGGCAATCTTGGGTGCTCTTTGACAATGCTGGGTGCTCTCTGGCAACGTTGAGGTAATCTTCGTGGAGATTGCCTTCTCCGTGGAGGCAATCTTGGAGGCTTTGTGGCTTGCACAGTGCACTTCTTGTGTGCGCCAGGTAGTAGCAGAAACGGTAGCCTTTCTGAACCACGCCGCTTGTTCGCTGCGACAGGCACATTGGTGGTGGATGTTTTTTTACGGCTACATGGTCCTTTTTATATTTTCAACTATTGGACTGTGGCTATTTTACTAAAATGTTTAGCAAAAGAATACTGAATAGTGAGCCGTATTCGTTGTTAACAGCAATTGTGTATCATGCAACTTCTGGTTTGTATTTCCCATCACAAACTTTCAGCGCGTGCAGAGGTGAGTGGATACATTGAAACTTTTCCTTTGCCATTTCCACTCACCGCTCCTTTGTCACCGTGTACCCACGTGCTGTCCGGACCTGTACGACGAAGCCTGACCCCACTAACCAGTCTCGCTCCTTACGGTTGACCACCCAGCTGATAATTGTAAACGTTTCACAGCTTATAAACCGGCAGCGCTGATATGATCTCCACAGTGCGCTGGGTGGTGCGCACTACGCAGCCTTTTGACGCTAATTGGCAACGGCGAGTCACTATCTGATGTATAGGATTCCAAATTGTGGTGGAGTAAGAAGCAGACCGGATGGTGTTACCGGATGTGAGAAAGATTAGGTTTGCTTACTATCTGGAAAAGTAGCGACGGTTATATAAAGTGGATAAATATGGGCTGATATTGACATCCTGATGCGTATATTACTTAGTGCTGTTCATGATATGATGACACGTAGGCTGAAGCGGATGCGGTTAAAAAAGGCCGCCATTAGGACACGTTCTATTTGTGAAAAAGCACGTCAGCTGTCGTGAGAGAATCCCTGTCACGGTATTCTGCGTCGCGAACTCACGGTGTGCTCGATTCGGTCGTACCCGTGTCCCGTGACGATTCACTGCTCGATTCTACCGCGGTCGAAACCGTGCTCACATTGCATGCACTATGCATTTATACACCCCGTAGGGTATTTGGTTGCACTTGGTCAATGTGTTATTGCATTATACGACAAACTGCTGTCGATAGGATGTTGTAAAAGGTGATGCGTGTTGCCTCTTCCACGGAACTATTGGCTCCCAAAGTCGAGCAACGTCCGGGTTCTAACTTTAACCCTGTCCCCCAATGAGATCACGTGACCGAGAACATTATAAATGACCTGCTGGTGTCTGAGCACTGTCCTTGCCGCCATTGGCAGTCATAACAAGAGTATTATCACAGGGTCCACTGTCCAAATTAATACCCCATTACAAATTCCGTGCCGAAAAAAATCAGGTGTCTTAGCACACATACATCCACATATCTCCACCATATGTCGCCTAATTTTTGGCAGACGATTTCACTTGTGACTGTTCGCCACGCGAGCGGAATACTAACGATAAAGCTGCACGCCATCCCTTCAAGACTGCTGAGCTCGTTGCGAGCTATCAGGCACCCATTCACTCCGACATGTCAGCGTTCTAGCGCGATATCTCCGTGTTGTTGGCTCGCTTCTCCGGAGGAGGTGTTGTGTTGTACCCGGTCGCAGGCCAATCTCGGTCGGGTATTATGCGAGGTGTTGTTGTACGCACGGCACGCACACAGAGCAAGGAGAGACGATAGGCAGGCGATGCGTCGAGGTGCAGCAGGGCCGGGCTGGGGTGTTTGCTGGTTGCAGAGGGCAGTGCATACTGGGACTCAATTCAGACAGGACTCTCCCAGGCTGAAAGGAAGGTGGGTTGGCCGAAAATGGTTTCAGGTGAAATTAGGAAGGATGTGAATTGTGAAATTCCTTGGTATACCAAAATGATGGTATCCGATTGGCATTTCTAGCATCTCTACCGTTAATGTGCTCTAAAGCTATATCATACTGGTCATTGGTGATTCAACATGCCTCTGCCTTTTGCCGACCGTTCGTCTGTATCTTTTTTTAGAAAAATTGTCTCTGTCTGAACCATCTGTCCTGCACGACAATTCCAGCTATTTCAAACGCTGACGAATCGGACCATCACAAATCACAAGACTGGAATGCCAATGGCGCCTCCTATGGCCTCTATCACGTGAGGTCGCCAGTTATTGATGAATGTTCTGACATGTTCACAGATGATGCTAGTGTTTACGCTGTTTGTGGTATATCGAGCATCGAAACATTATTCCTGAATAAATGACGTTGTCAGGTGGACAGTCATAAAAATCTAAAAAGGGCAGTCGAAGCCTTCAGTCGACCTCAATTTTTTCGAATGTCATTGTCGTGAAGTCATTCATACACGCTATGCAATACTGTAAAGATGAGTCACAACACGCTACGACAATTTAAGGACATGTCTTCCAAGCTCCCTCTTCATGGAATAAACACGGATGCACTAAACCTCACGGCTCTCCAGTCCAATAGCTCGGTATGTATTTGCATGGCCGCCTCTGGCTAGATCTTTGTCACACTTGACACCACGTAATCATGCAAGAAAGACGGACAACTCGAATCACGCCGGACTTCGGAGTCATTTAAATCACCATAATCCTCTGCAACTGAATCGGGATGTGCATGCACATTGCATACTGCTGGCAACGTTTGGCCCAAGAGTCCGGCTTCAGTATCTGTAATCGATACCTTGAGTTGGCTGGCAGAGGGAATCACTTGACTGGCTTCAATGTTGTACTGACGCTCAGACAGCCGCTTCCTAAGACGCCCGGGTTATCTTCGGTTTAGACAGGTGGGGTCTCATTGGGTGTCAGTGTGCCAGTCTGTTAGTCTGTGAATATGTCAGTTTGTCAATTCATTTTGTCTGCCAGTGTCGCCGTCGTTGGACGGACGGGTGACATCGGGTGCATGCTAGCTAGCACGTCACTCGTCAAGTTGGTTTGTCGCCGTGCCAGTACCCGTTTAAGTCCCCTTTCCAATATCGGCTTGAGTTGTCGTTCCACGTACCAGTTCATATTCTGGTCTCTGTTTTCGTTCCAGTCTTCGTTCCAGTTCCGGGCCCTTATTCCAATGCCCACCCCTTTTCCAGTACACGTTTTCGTTCCATTCCAGTCTCATCTACCGCTCCAGTCTTCGTTCCAAATTCAGCCCAAGTATCTGTCCCAATCCCAGCTCCCGTTCTAGCCCCCGTTCCAGTCTTCGTTCCAGTTCCCGATGCCGATGCCGATCCCGTTCTCTAGCGCCGTAGGACGGGTGAACCGGGTGAGGTATGCTAATGACCGGCTCGAGCCAGACTCACGCCGGCGGCGCCTTGCATGTGCTATAGTGATGTACGAGGTGAGCAACGGGCGCCGCCGAGTCGCGGCTGAGGTCCGTGGAGTGGTGGTACGGTACAGGATGGTATGGGGTACATAGGTGCACTGGATAGTACGCGGTACGGTACCCTTCAACCAGCATAGTGGGCGATGCGTATGCGACGGTATACGGTACGCTGGTACACTGGAGGATGTGCGGTACAGTGGGACACTAAACGGTACACCGGAGTTAACGCTGGCTGATATGGGCCCCTTTACTCCAGTTCACCGGATGATACACGACACACTGGACTGTACACCGGAGTTAACCCCTGGCGGCTCATTCGTGGGGACGCTGTTGCCTGTTTACACCTAATACTACTCGAGACGGTAGAGGTACATACCAAACAGCATACCGTGCAGCGTGTATGCATATAAATCGGGCGAAGCAGTATGTCATTAAGTGACAAAACAATGCACTGCACGAAAATTGCAATTTGATTACAAACACCGCATGCTTACATTAATTACGGCAAATGATTTGTTGCTTTATGTCCCTTATGCACCTGGCTAGACGGATTCATCACTGATTAGTTTGGTTGTGCCTTATCAGCATTGTTCCTGTAGCATTATCTTCACTATCTGCTAATGTTCGTCAATTATTGAGGGTCATGCACAACAACGTGACCTCCCATGCAATTGCTGCCAAATAGCTTGTTAATGCAGCAAACTGTGCCGTCTTAAAACGTCTCGTTGCTCATGATTCCATCCACTTTTTGTCTTTTCAGGTCTGTATCAGATTAAAAAAAAATCACAAGAATGAGCACCGACAAAAAAAGTATCAAAATCAATGACAAAAACACGTGCCAGCTCAACTTAATTTTAATTTGAATGCATCGGGCGAAAAATTCCTATCGTTAATTGCACCGAAATAAATACAAATCTCCAGAACAGCAGTACCAGAGTCCAGAACGTCCTCGATTGTGGGTGGCGCACTCGGCAGCGGCCGCGGCATATTCGCCGCACCCACCGCCCGTGCCTGTGCCGTAATAATGCATCTACGGTTATTACATGGCCAATAATGATGACAAGTAATGGCTCAGAGCACCATTTCGTTTGCGTCGCTGCCTTAGATGATGATGCGCATGCATATCAAATGGGTTGCGTGCTACTCTGATTGGTCCTGTGCCTTTATTTGATTGGGGTAAATCGGTTTCCGATTTCTTTTGTCCTGACGATACGATGGATATTCATTTTGCGTCGTTGTATGCGAATTAGCGGATGATAATGTAGGCCATAGACGTCTTATTTTTGTATGAATTACAAGTTTCGGTAAATGGGTTGCTACTGTCGTGAATGAAACATGAATCTGTTTTTGGGCATCCATCGCTATTTTTCAGCAAGTTCTGATCACTCTGGGTGGTCTTCTCATGAGAAAGCCATCTAGACGCATTTAGTTCTGCGTCTGATATGGCTCCTTACATCTCTTTCTGCCCTATGGCCAGTGATTTTATTTATTTATTTTTGCATCAGCCTCAACTCCAAAACTAGCGGACACTGTCGATGTAAGACACAGCTATTGTTCCGCTACCCTTTTTCCGCTTTTCCTTTTGTGAAAAGCTGCCAATGGCTGTGGAACATCATGCAGCCTGGGAATTCGACCACACAGCTATTGCGTGGGTTGACCGTGACATGACCTTGTAACCCGATTGAGGCACCCCATTTTCCATATATCACCGAAAAAGAAGCTTTACCACCTTGCGAAGTTACAAGGGTAGCATATATTACGAATATTTAATTATTCATGAAAGGAACACGCGAAGTGCCCATGCGCTCATCAAATGCACTACATACCAGTCGTGAGGTTTTTGCGTTTTCTATGCGTATCATTTTTTTGCGCTGCGCTATGCAGGCGGACGCTTGGCTGCCACATTTTAACACGCACAACTACTGTTTTAAGTGCTGGAAGTCAGGCTCCGTAAAGATCCCGATTCTTCCTTTAGAGTTGACAGCAGTCACAGCCCAGCCCGTTGCTCGGCCCGTTTATTTCGACATCTCTGTTGCCTGGGGACCCGCCTTGCAATCGTCCCGCTCGGGGTCAGCTGGGGGATATTTGCCTAATTCCCCCGTTTGTATGTACCGCTCGCCTCAGGAAGTGGCCCTGCCTGCCTACTGAGGTGCTCACGGTGCGCGGTGGTGCACAATGCACAGTGCACAGATCACTAGACGGGTGTGGTCGATGGGCTCAGAGCAGTGGGTGGAGCGAGGTGGTTGGATCACACCCGTGATATGATCTCGGGCTGCCGCTGATCGCAATGGAGGGTCTCCTTGATCTGCCGACATGGGTTACTCGTGATTCGTAATTTCGTGGGATAAGAAAATCACGCTTTGGTGGATCTACAGATCTTCCAAAGCGCGATGGTTTTGTATGTATAAAAATCTGGAAGGTCTACATGTAACAGTCCGGTCTCGTTGGCAGTAAATCGGCGGCTCCAGTGCAGCTGCCGGCGGTCTGTCGGTCGTTATAAGAGAGCCCATTTTTCATGGTGCACTTAATATGGCGCTGGGGCGATGGCGGCGCGGCCCGGCTGCATACAGTGCTCGACTGATTGGGCTTGATTGTGCTGTCAGAGACGCCGATCGAACACACCCTCAGTTGAGGCGGGTGATTGCGGTCAGTGCCGATCACTCCCTCAGCACGCCCTCAACTGTTCGGTGGAGTTATCTCGAGCTGTGAATAGTTCAAACAATGGCGGCCGTGAACGGAATCCGGCTGTCTCTTTTGATAACCGCAGGCTGCTTGAAATAGACAAACACTATTCGTTGGAATTGTGTTTTTCATTGAAAAGCAGCCGGAGCATTTCTGGTATTGCTGAGCTGATGCTGAAAGCGCTTTACGGACACCTGAAATGCTCTTGACTTTGAATTTATTCTGGAACGGAAGATAAGTCATAGGTGGGTACATTCCCGAGTGCTTACGTGAAGACGGCGTGCAACTATCATCCTATGAGAACCCTGCATTCTTGTGAATATCTGTGCTTACCTGCAATCCTTTTTCCTCTGTGATTGATTGAAAACGAACTACGGCTTTGACTGACATTGAGCAGCATCGAATAAAAAACTCGCGCGACTTTGTTGGCGCGTTCTTGCGGTCGCGGTTTTCGGAGACGCGCCATATATGTCACTTTGCGGCGAATATCGGCGCCGAGCTGCGGGAGGTCGAGCTCTGAAGCGCAGAACCACAAACCAGTGCCTGCAACGGAGACCGGTCATGTCATCGCATCACCGATTGATGCTGTAATAGGAGGGCTTTCTTGGAGGTACGCCCACAGTTAACCACATGAGCATTATCAACTCTCCAAATCCGTGAGTTTTCATTCGCATGGGATGCGAAACTGGTATTCGTAGTTTATAGGGCCTTGATGGGATGTGACTACGGGCACTGGACGATTCGAGACGAGGCATGAGAGGTGTGAGATATGCTTTATAGGCAGATATGCTACGGCTTTTTGCTGTCAATGCTGCAAATAACTGCTTGCCTATTTTTACTGATGAGTTGATGGGGATTCCATTGTCGAGGATTTGGCTAACATTTTACTATTAGCACTGGAAATTACGAAAGAATGTGCCAATACATTGAAGCGGATAGGATCTCGTCAGAAGGTATGTGAAAAGCGCATCTTTATTTCCCTAAATAAGCGTTTTTACCCGGGTTTATCCGTCATTGAGACATCCAACGCTTATTGAATGCTGACTAGTGGCAACTTCAGGTGAATCGTGACATCCAAAAGCTTTATTTGCACATTTATTGGCTTTTAAATTTGCATCAAATGCATTTAGCTTATTGTAGAGTATACCTATACGTCGACCGATGAATTCGCACGCTTTTTATGCTTTTTTGATTGACTTTATATACAGCAAATTTGTGTTGGGTTTAGAACTCGAATTCGAAGATCGCCACAGCACCATCGGAAAATCTAAACAGACGTTTCTTATCCTGACCTATGACTGACATATCCCCGACATTGTTAACTCTACCTCCTTGTCCAATGTCCAAGTCTTACAACCTCTTCTGTCCCGTGTCCGCTTGCTGAGTCAGGGGAAGCGCCAGGCGGACACCTTCGGGGAAAGCGAGCGCTCCAGACGAGGGCCTGTCCTGACCAGAGCATGCCGCTCATATTTGTTCTGACGACTGGGTCATTTGTTTGGGTGTTATCTTTCCATCTGTCCCAGGACTCCTATCAGGTAATTCCGATCCCCTGAAACCGGCCACGTACGCAGCCGAGGGGAGAGGGAGAGAGAGAGAAGGGGATAGAAGGAGAGAGAGAGAGAGAGAGAGAGAGAGAGAGAGGGGGAGGGAGGGAGAGAAAGAGAGGAGGATGAGGAAGAGAAGGATTAAAAGAAGATGAAGCGTACGAGCACGAGTTCATTACCAAATGAACGCGAAGCGATGATCCATGACTGTTGAGTCGTTTAAAGTCGGAGCCCGTGTCTCCACGGTTACTGTCGGAGTCAGAGTCTGTCTTTCCACGGCTTCCGTCCCATCCACTGTCCACCAGCGCGGTGACGAAGGCTGCGGACCCTGCTGCGGACAATCGTCTCGCACGGGGACCTCGCCAATCGCAGGGTCTCTCTGCCTTCAGCCAGTCTCTCGTCACGTCCGGAGGAATTCGAAACGGGAATACTGATCATCGGACGACTGGGCTGATCGATGTGGATCCAATGCTAGCCGCAAGGTCTGAGAGACATATGCGACTTTCTGTGATGTCTGGTGCGCGCTCAGAGACGAACCTATTGACTGGCTGTGAGAGGATTGTCTGTGAGATGATCGTCTTGAGGTGACAGGGTTTTGTCCGAGGAATGACGTGAGAGGCTCTGTTTCTCACCTCAGTGCAATGGTATGAGAGGACATGTCTCCGTTTGATTGAGGGGTAGGCAACTTACAGCACTCGCTTCTCGCCCCAGTATAGTGTGAGAAGACCGAACTGTCACCCCGGTGTTGTGTGAGGACTCGTCTCTCACCCCGGTATAGTGCGAGAGCACCCGTCTCTCACCTTGATGGCGTGAGAAGCTCCGTCTCTCACCTCCGTAGTGTAAGAGGATCTATCTCTCACCCCGGTATGGTGTGAGAGGACTCATCTAGAAGCCACCGTCAGCCGGTTGCCGTTCGCCTGTCGGAGCCCAATTCAGATTAGCTTATCGGCAGCCGAGTGGACGACATTAATTGGAAAGGTGTCCTCGTGATAATTGGACGAGTCCCCGCGGCGGCCCACGTATGTCCGACACGACCGAACCATGACAGGAACGCGCCAGGAAGCCAGGAGGGAATAGGGAGGCCTGGAGGGGTCGGGTGGCTGCTTATGAGCAGTTAGATTCACTTCTGAGCGAGCGCTTTTGGAAGTGAGGGATGCTTAGGCGTTTGGAAGCCTCACTGTTTGTCGGCATTTAAAGCAATATTGTCGCAAGTGAAATGATGAACGTGGAGGCGTGGGTAATTTTCAGGGAAATGAGGTTATCCTATCAATTGGAGCGTGCAGTTGAATCATTTTGATTAGGTGGCGTGGACTTCATTAGTGGCAATATTCGACCCGGTTGACGTCTGGATAGCCGCTTGGTCGAGACTGTGCGCGCAGCCGTCCGGATGGAAAGATGGTTGTTTCGGTGGAAAGACGGTTGACTCATACTCATAAGGCCGTGGGAACTCATACGGCCTTCTCGGTGGATAGACAGATGGACATGCGATCTTCTAGGTGGACGGAAGACTTGTGTTGGTGGACAGACAGTCTGGCCTCTGGGTGGACAGTTGACAGTCTGGTTGGACAGACTAACTGTCTCGGTGGACAGACTTCTGTCTGGGCGGATAGTTGACAGTCTGGCTGAACCAGCGACCGGATCGTCTCGATCGACCAACGACCGTCCGTGTGGACAAACGATTGGAGCGGCAGGAATGCGACCGCCCTACCCCTATCCCCCCCCCCCCCGCGGTCGCCAGCCTGCGTGGAGGCGTCCGCTCAATTGTCCCCTGTAGGATCTCAGCGGGGTCTTACCTGGCTAACCTGTCGCTCCAGCTCTTTGGCGACATATCGCTTCGGCCGGCAAGAAACGCTTTCACACCCCGGCACGAGAGCCGGCAGGAACGCGCAGCGGCGCCGCTAAGGGGAGAGGCCGAGCGGAGGAAAACACCTGGAGCTGCTCGCCGGGACGGTTTTGATGTGCGTCGAGGAATTCAAGCCCCCGTGATTTGCGTTGGATATGAGAGCGACTGGCCGAATTGTAGCGACTGGTATGCTGAACTGCTTGTTTGATGATGGATTTCGTGCAGAGATGAAAGTGTCTATGTTGTAGTCGAGTCGGTTTATTTAGATATTTGCGATAGAGTTACAGTGAATTGTGAATGTTTTGTTCCATCGTGAATGAATATGTCAATAAGCTTTGGTGATAAAGTTGTCGTAAGAAATGAGATGTTCTAGTGTTTTGACAGCTTGTGAATTGTTTCACATGCCATAGCTTTTTCCATATTTGTGGAAGAACATTCCAAGCATGCATGTTTTGCTATGCTGCAAGTGTATATTTTGCTACTTATGCCTTACGATCGCGCATTAGCAATTGAGGCATTTTGAACAGCACTGGTATCCTAAAATGGGTCGCTCTAAGAAGATGTTCTTGTAAACGAAACGTCAAACAGTGCAAATAGCATTCCATTTTTAGGGCGATGCTGTTCCCCGTGAGCTGTGAGGTATTTTGGTATTGAAAATGTAGAACAATACCTATTTAAAAATATTTCATTCTAAATTAATTCTTTCCTTGCACTTGACAGGTAATAAGCCGATCTGAAGTTCTATTCACTGTTCTACTAATCCTTAGTCGTCTTTTACATGTCAATTTATTTCAGGAAAACAGCCAATATAAAATATGCGGTGCATGTCTGACGTAATTTTCGTGCAGCAGCAGTACCTATAAAACTTAAACAGGCATTTCCCACAGGAATGTCGTACGAAGATGTAAAAAGGGAGACGTTTCACGCAAGCGGCTGAAACTCGCCTCGTCCCAGAGTATGGTCAGGAGTATGGTTACCTCTGGACATAGTTGAATCGGTAGCCGCAGGATTATGTCCTTCTTTATCCCTAGGTTACAAAACAGAATCGGGTAGACTAGAGAACAGGGCACGCATTTACGCTTCATTGTTTCATTAGATAACGAGGTCGGTTAGTTTCCGTTTGCGACGTAGTGCGTTTTCACATTGTATTTCTGGTGCGAAAATTAGTGACAACGGCATTTTTCTCCCAAGGGAGGCGACCGCGCTGTGTATACATATTATTATACATAGTGTATACGCTGTGTATACGCTGTGTATGATATTATTGCGACCTTCAGCGGTAAACAAATATCTGTTTGGTGACCAATCCCAAAGACCGAAATCCAATGCCCGGACACGAACTGGGCCCGTGGAGACTAAGGCAGTGACCGTCCGACCGTCAGCAGTCAGCACATTCTAAGCGTGACTGACGCTCGGTGTGGCAAAGCTGGCCATAAAGCCGGGTTTACACTGTTCGCTGGCGGCTGCCTGAAGACCAGGTGACAGACCAATGGACAGGTTTACGAGCGACTCGCCATAGAACAAGGACGGAGGAGAAGGGACGCGGGTGCGCCGGAAATGGCGCGGCGGAAATGGTCACCTTCCGGTGAGTCCGAGGTGGTCAGGAGAAGTGAAATTCCAGACGCTTTGGTATGCAAATCATGTTTCTTTTCAGAAATGTAAATGTTTGTGTGTGATTCGCCCTTTCACTCCTCTGAGTCTGGATTTACTGGCTAGGTCGCACCACATCCACAGCTAAAAAACACAGTTGGTCGGAGTCTAAACCATCGCATATTTTTCTTGCAGCTCTCGTAAAGCATCTGCTATATAGGTTTGAAAGTGTAAGGCATTCTGTTTCATAGTTCACCACAAAGCGCCATATCTCGCCACTGATTTGGAGTGCGCAGCGTTGGATGTCGTCGAAGGGCGATGGGTGAAATCCTTTTATTTTAGTCTTTTGCGTATATGACTACAAACGTTAATAACTTATCAACATCATCCTCTTTAAAGTTGACCTCATTCCTCTCATCCTTCGCCATCTTTCCATCCGAGTCTTTACCTTTTACGTCTCGCTCTCTCCTCTCTCCCTCCGTTTTCTCGGCCACTCTCGTTCGCCTCTCGTTCCCCTCTGCCTCACACCAGAGTCCTGATTGTGCGCATCATCCGACCAGCGGGGATCGTCTCCTATCGGGTGCCTCCATCTCTGGCTGACGCTGAGTCTGGCACGCGCACTGGCCGCGAGCTCGGAGCACTCATCACACCATCGGCGCCTTTGCTTTGGGGTGATGCGCACGTGGCCTCATGTGTCGGTCATGGAACATTGTGGACAGCTCTTGCCCGGATGGGAGGTCATGTAACTCAAAGTTGGCATTTTTCTCGCATTCGCATTTTGTTGCACCTTCTTATTCACTTTCTGAAGAGTATTTTCTAAGTTATGCTTTTTCACGTCGCATGTTCTGTTTTTATTGTACATTTTTATGGTTCATGTTTTTTTTTTTGGTATTTTATGTACCTTTGTAAGTCGATTCCATACTCGAGAGATGCACAGTTCGTTCGAACTGTACGTACTATTTGACCCTCTAAAGGAAGTGTGTAAAACATAGCTCATTATCACTTTGCATGTGGCCTCACTTTGTAAGTACGCTAAGTTCTCTAATTAATCGAAATGTTAAGAATGCAGTATTTAATAAATCTCTTCACAAAAAGTAGGCTGTCAAGGTATGGACGACGTCGGAATTAAGTCCTCAAGCGCTTAGCATAAACTTCAGAAGCGCTGACGAGTATTATGGTGCAATCTATCATGCCTGGTTGAGCGTGAAGCAGTGCTAACCCACTAATGGACTTACAATTTAAAGTAAGACGTATACGTCTCGCTAATGCTGGCTGATACATGTACGACAGAATGTTAATAGTCTTATAGATCTCAATCAGATGGCGTGTATCTCATCTGACGTTGCGGTGGACCTGCTAACGTGCTGTTCTTCATACCGCTGCCAGCTCTATACTTAATGATAGTGAGTGATGATTTGTCAATGACTCGGTGGTTTTGGAACGTGACTGAACGTGTCAGTGTGACGTTTTGCACTTTTTGCCGATGCGACTCTTGTGATTGTTTCGCGATGTGCGCTATCTGCTTTGAAAACTGCACTGAGTCATCATCTCAACCAGCCTTTTTCGTTGTATTTATTTGGTAAACGTTCTCCTAATTACAGTGCGCGTATGAATAAGAAAATATTTTGTTTTGTATTTCCAGCGCAATGATCAGTAGGGTTACGCTTATTTTCCTTATAGCTCGTCATGACTCCCTGTGTTTGCTATGACGCCAGCGTGTCTTCCAGGCCACTTTGTTGCTGTTGACAGAAGAATTTCACGTCATCAACCTCCGGCATCCAGGAAAGTATCGATTCTGACGCGTCTTTGGCAGCCGTGCCCCCATCGTCTGCTGAGAGTTATTCACGCTCGTCTGATGCTAAACTTGACGCCTGGAATTTACCTCACGACACGGGCCATGTCGCGTATAGTATGGCTTCTCTAGCGATGCCAGTTAATTACTAATGACGGCATGCGCATGCAACACTTTTCACAATCCGGTTGACATTGTGAGCCTGTGAGGAACGTGACCGGCGGGACAGCGGACGACGCGGCCCGTAAAAGGAAGTAGCGGGGCGGTGGGCTCGCCAACCGGCACAGTTTCCTGGTGCCCACGTGGCTGGTGATCGTGATTTACCGAGGGTAGGAAGGTTATTTATTCGTTTTGTATAGACGGAGAGCATGCCTGGGGTGGATGGATTCCTGGCGTGAGAGGTGTCTAAAAATGTGGCGCTGGAATGGCTAGCTTCAGTTCTGGAGTGAGTTTCTCGTTTGTATCTGAAATGCTAGAGGTTTTGATATGTTTTACACAAGAAAACCATGTCTTTACTAACTACTCCTTGTCATCTGTAAACGTCAGATTCCACACGAATTTCTTCCCATTTGCTCTCACACATGAAGTTTTGCCAAGGTTGAGTGATTACCTTTGACGAAGTGCGACGCAATATTCCGTTACTGCGTTCAATAAGCCATCTTGCGGTCTCGCGTAGCCTTCCGGAATTATCTCAAATCCCGGTAAGCCAGGCTGGCAGCTCTCGACACGCTACTCTGACGCTTCCAAGCTAGGTCAATGGCGACCATATTGTTGCTGGTGCCCTTCCGCCTGAAGACAGTAATGATCTACCAGTGTAAGGAGTTTTTAACGACTTTAGGCATTAACAAGTGGTAATTTAACCCATATTTAATATATCAACCAGGCGCACTATTTGTTCCTATCAGGACATATTGAAACAAATTTGGGGGGAAATGGTACGCAGTATTTTCTCCCGTTTGCTCCCAATGGGACAACTAATGCGCCTGATTGATTTCATCTTCAACTTAAGCCAGATAAACTTAAGCATTGTCAATTCGAGGAGGACCACACGCACTTGGGCGAGACTCGACCCATCAATTCAGCAGCGATTACCAGTATCGTAATCGCCGCCAGCCACGAGCCCAGGCGTTTTGCGTTACCTTTTACCCAGCCCGGTGGTCGGTCCACCGAGCATTACCAGTGCCTCCGTGAACCACTTCCCCCAGTGCCGCCTGCGTAGCCCGAGCCGTGTAGGTAGCTATTAAAACTCATTACCAATAAACGGGTTAATTACGTTACCTCCGTCCCGCCGGGCGGTGGCGGCCCTGGCCCGGCTGTGGTATGCTAATGATTGGTCCACCGCCGAGGGGGGGGGGGAGGAGAGCGCCACAACAAGACTGCACTGGCGAGGCACGGGTCTGGATCGGTCTTCAGTACGGGAATACACCAGCGGTGGTTTTGGTGAACTGGGTAACCGACTGAGCAGAGGTACTGTCATTCGTCCTCTGAAGAACAGCCGGAAGTTTACATTGGACAGCGTTTGAACTTTAACCCGCGCCCTGCTGGGGGGGGGGTGTTTGAACACCCCCCCCTTGTGGTTTTTCGCGAATATCTCAAAAACGGCGGCGCGGAGCGCCGCCGTTTTTGGTACACCTTATCATACATCAATTTTACACATGTTGTGAAAATTTCAGACCAAGGTCATTCAAGGTCAGGTCACCAGGTCACTTGAAGTGACCTCACCTCATAAAAAGTTTCAATGTCTGTCATAGCTACACCGAGTGACCGATCGCTTTGAAACTTTCAGCGATTGCTAAGAGCAATAGCATGTACAAAATGTATATCTCAGAATTTTGATACCGATGACCTAAGGTCAGGTCAATTTTGCGACCTCCCCATTATAAGTCAATGGGAGAAAATTGAAATGCGCCTCTTTTGGACGAAAGACATTATAAACACTCCCAAACACCGAATTACAAGTGGTTTAGACACACTGAACATGAAAATGGTGTCCGTGACCCTTGTTTGTGCCCTGAGGTCATCTTAGGTCACGAATGGTATCTAACAGTTTTTCGCAAATAACTTTTGATAGAGGCATGCTAGAGCGATAAAAACGCCTTATATGTGTTCAGCTCGACGATACGGATCGACTGATATGCAACATGACCCTTTCCGGTCAGGTCATGACCTTGACCTGAGGTCAAATTTTCAAGTTGACCTTTCAAGGTCAAGTTATAGTTCATTCGATTCGTCTTGACGAGAGGAACACGATGCCGGTAAAAGTAAGCTCGTACAAGGCTTGGGTCAAAAGTTATTGCAGAAAAACTGTTTCCAAAAAAATCGGCTATTTTTGCAGTTTTTGCACCCTGCAGGCAAAACCGTTGACGTTAGGTCAAATCTGAGAGAATTACTCAGAAAGGGCGTTAATAGGGCTATCGAATGCACTTTTCCGCGGCGCTGTAGCTCTATTGGTTCCCGAGTTATGCGTTAGCTTCTTGGAAATTTTCGACATTCGACCTGGAAATCGGCGAAATTTTGCCTTCAATGACCTCTGGTGACCTGACCTTTGACCTGACCAAAAAATTGACCGAAGTGATTTCGTCATTATTTTTTACGCTCTTTCGAACGCCGCCTTCCGCGTATCGCTACGTGGCCCAGGAGCCGAGTTACAAGGGGGGGTGTTCAAACACCCCCCCCCCCCCCCCAGCAGGGCGTGGAAATCCAGGACCCCCAGCGGGGCGCGGGTTAAATGTTGAATTCTCACCTGTTGGGTGAACACAAATGACAGCGATGTTGCTGTCGAGGAGCTGCATAAATAAACAAAACAGCCTTGTCCAAGGGGCTGTTGTGGTGACATTTATCGTGGAGATGTTGCGAAATGGTGGTGACTCAAATAACTACATCACCCAAAATGTTACTGATTCGTGTGGTGACTTTATCACTAGGTAGTGTCCGTATATTTTCCATCGGTATGATTTGCAAAGAATGTTGTAACCATGGATGACACACAATCTGTGAGATTATTCCTGTGAACTACTCTCATTTTCTCGTGATTAGCTACCGGTTACCAGCGTATCCCAATTTCCGGTCTCCCGCCTTCGCTGGGTCCGCTCCCGAACCATTCATCATTCCCTCTCTCCACCCTTCCCTCTTTCCTACCATACCGTCGTGGGTGGCACGTGCGTTCCTCCCCCACCTGCTCCCTTCCCTTTCCCGCCGTCCACAACTTAATTGTTCTGGCAGCTGTTAGCTAGCGACCCAACGCGCCAGGCGCCGGAACGCTTCAAGGGGTCAAAGGTCAGCTGCCGAGCCGTCACCCCCCTCCCCCACCCTCCGACCCGACCGCCATCTTTGATCGACATCTGTCTGTCAAGTAACTACGATGTCTGGCCAAATCGAATCGCAGCTGGTTAAAGTTAATTGACTCATCAAATATGAAGCAGAGAAATGGTCTGTTTGAAAACTGGCTGGGTGACTTATGCTGCTCATCGTAATGTGTTGAAGTCTTCAAGAGACGGAACCTTCATTTCCGCGGCGTTACGCTTTCAATCAAAACGCTCACCATCTTGTGGGCTGTCGTCGGCTCGTGCTGAGACAGTCGTAGATCCTAGCGGGATATTTAATTCTGGAAAGGACTTGCCCACATTTGCTGTTCGCTTGCTTGCATGCTGCAGTATTGTGAATTGGTCAGTGGTCAAATTGCTAAGCCCAAAACGGTCTACTCGTAGTCTGACCAACTGACGGTAGTTTGGTCTGACCAATCAGCGCTGGTCTGACCAATTAACGTTGGTCTGGTCGTACCGCCAATGGTCTGACCATCCGAGAACATAGCATCAACCTGCTAGATGAACAACATCATCCGAGCAGCCGATAAATTCTCCAAGAAATTCTGCTTAGACAGAACTGAATTTAGCTCATATCCA